AATGGTTGCTCTGGTTGTCAGAAGAGGCATCGGCCCTGTGACTTCCGAGGGAACTCGGCTTTCATCACGTGACGTCATAATTCTTCCTCCAACTCGCAGGGCAGAGTTAAAATGGTTTGAATTATTTTTTCTGGTTAGCGTTTTTTTGGCAAGTTAGTTTTTGACGGAATGGGGTCGCCAACCCCATGTCCAACCCTCCTCCTTTACCCGGGCTTGGGACCGGCAGTAGCCCCGAAGGTTCTACTGGCGGAGTCATAATTCTTCTTCCAACTCCCAGTGCAGAGTTAAAATGGTTTGAATTATTTTTTAGGAATATACCAATCCATAAAGAAAAATGTTAGTTAAACAAATGACTCAGTGTACACAAATCCATTCATTAATGAATTAAGAATTTTTGAATTCTCAATTAGTTTTTATTACTTATTTCCTTGAATTCGATTTTTTCGTGTTCACAGTAGAAATTTATATTTGGCCTTGGAATTAATATTTGCTCAGTAAGCGAGAATATAAGCAGTTTCTTGCTAAATATTGTCCAGTGTAGCAAGGATATTAAAAGTATCCATCTGAAGTGAAATATCTTTTTATTACTTCATTAAAAAAATCTTGTTCATTTAAAAAAAAAATTGGAAACAAAAATATACAAATTCTAGACAGAAAAAATAATGTTCAACAAATGTTTTTTCTAATGAAAAAAATTGTCTATACACATTGAATCAAATTTTACTTGAATAAAATTTTCTTTTTATATCACAATAAATAAACTAATTAGATGTTCACATTAATTGTGGTTTAAATCTCTAATGTATCATAAATCATTTTTTTGTATATTTCAGAAATCTTGTGTAAAATTTATAACAGACAGTACTTTCTATTAATTAATTATGATTTATTTGGGATAGAACAACATTTTCGGGCATATAACAGTTGTAAACGACTGTCTAATTCAAGAAATGCAAAAATCCAGTAGTATTGTATTTGTATCGCAAAATATGAAATCTGTTTCAAATAGGATTATCATTAGGTTATTTAAATTGTTATCAAATTGTTAATAATCATATCTAGGGTTCGATGTTTACGATAATCATCAAAGTTTGGGCCTAACAGCCAAGTTTTGAAAGACTGGAGAATGAGAGACTTATCAGCTAATTCGCATCAATCACTTATGATATATTCTATATATTAACGCGTTATTTTATCACATGAAAAATCATTCATCTGGCTAGTGATCTTAAATTTTGATTTACTAAATGTATAGTATGATCTTGTGAGCAACCATCACTCGGCCACACTAGGTTCATCAATCAAACGACCTTGTACTTGCTGCTTTTCGTATTCAAAAGTTTTTTTAATCGAGTCTTATAAAACCTCGATGACGTATATATTATTATTGCTTGTATCTGTATCTATTCAACAGTATGCATATCAGTAAGTTTGTTCATTTACTTACTCGTGATCAGATCGATTTCCATTGGCATGTTGAATAGCTGAAGTAAAACAAATTCCATTCCTATGATTTTATATGAGAAATTTAACAGATATTTATGAAATATAAACTATCTAATTTATTTGTTAACGAACACGATGAACTCGATATTAAGTGACCACATCGCAGCTTGATCCAAAGAATTCGATCTACACTAAGAAGGAGCTGATACACTTGACTTTGATCATTACCTAAAGAGAACAGTTACTCCAGAATACCATTTATACATACTTTACAAATCATTTAAAAATTGTTTCGAATATACAAATTTATACCCTTTAAGATGTCACCAAAAAAATTGTAATTATTTTATTGTTATTACTATTATTATTACTAATTTGCTATGCAATGCAACTATCAAGTCCAACCTTAGTTATGATACCTACATTTAAATTGTTTGCAGAATCTTGGTACTTTTCACATTTCTATTTCTAATGATATAGAATAAATACTTTTTAAGTAAATAAATAATACCAATTAGGTATCATCACGAAGGTTTAACTTGTTGATTTCAAATAAATCGTCCATTAGTGTTAGATGGGTATCAATAAAAGTAATGATTCATTTCCTAATGAATAGGAAATTCAATTTCTGGCATTTCACAACTTTGCATAAACTATTCATTAAATTAAACAAATAATAATCTATTTGAGTAACTTAAAGATGAAAACATTGGTTGTTTAATTGTTTTAAATGTAATGAAACCTTGACAATCATTTGAATTCATTTATACATAGAATAAAGGATGTTATATCTTTAGTTGTTCGGAATATCCTCCTGATAAATGATTGAAGTTAACATTTTTTTTAGAACTGAAACTCTTTATCTATGAACGAACGATTAACCTAATTAGTTTCAGTTTATCTCTGCTGATTTGCATAATACATTCACACAGTGATTTCGAAAAAAAGAAATCAAGAGACTGGCCTATGAGGACAAATTATTCTTCATATATTATTAATAATTAAGTTTAAATAAATTTCAGTTTTTTCAGTAGAGTATTTGTTTATTGTTAAATGACCAATAAAATTTAATGATTAAAACTGTAATCATTATTTGTGATTGTCATTTGAAATATTTGAAACTAATTTATGCAGAAAATTTCACATATAATTAATGATCTAAAGTAAAGATGTGCCTCAATTGATTAAAGTTAAGTCGACATAGATATTGAAATAAATTTTACTTAGAAATATGATCAGTAGCTTTTCTTATCTAAATTTAAAGAAATCTCGAGGAACTAATGATATTGTCTATTTTATGTTCATTCATGTCAAAAAATCAAACTAATTAATAAGTGACTACAAAACAAACATTTTTATTTTTGTACCTAGATTTTTTGTCTGATCAACGACCGAATTTAATTTCAAATGGTTTGGACTCAGTGGTTGAGTGTATAATGGCATGGCAGTTGTGGCAGACTGTATTAAGTTCGAGTCCCGAAGTCGGCAAAAACTCTGACGAACCTCAAATAGGACGAAACGTGCTTGAAGGATTCCACTGTTAGCCACATTTAATCTGTTTTATATGGAGCAATAATAATGATCTCATAACACTTTAAGACTAAGTATGAGTTCCATTTTTCCATGTGACTGATCAGCGACAGAATAGAATTAGAACAAAACTTCATGACTTAGTTTAATGCAAATTAAGAGACCCAGATCACTAAATATTGACCGTCCGTTTATGAAATATATGCGTGTTAGTTTTTGGTTTAGAGTTTCGCACACAGTCACTTTATTATGTCGAAGTAAAATTCAGGTTCTTTTGGTTTGTAGTCTTGTTTTACATTTGGAATCATTGGCTTACGGTGAGAATTCAATCTTCTGAATAGCCATCACTTGATCACATTTTATCATTGAATATCACCGACTGTCCAGAGATCTTTCATTGTAATTATTTTTCTTGCTGAATCCAGGATTCCTCATCAGTGTATATCTACAGTATCGTTTTATTAATAAGTATTACTTAAAAGCTGCTCATTATCTTTTCACAGTTGCTACAGTTGATGCATATAATATATTATAAAATTTGTCGAATACTTCGATGCACAAATAACTATCATTTGACGTTGAAAAACCAAGTATTTTATTCGCAATACGACTAATATTATATCAACACCAGAGTTTAAGAGTCCGCCCTCAAGACCGAAAGTCCCGTGTTCGAGTCCTGTGAGTAGCAGGAGTCATAGGTACGCACTACTGATAAGTCCCATACCAGTATGAAATGGCCGTCCAGTTCTTCGAGGTTTTTAATGGTGGTCTAACAATAATTGATTCATAAATTCAATAATATTATTTGCTAAATGAGATTTAAAAAGTCATTTAATATTATCCATTTTTCAAATGGTATTGATCGACAGCGAAAAGCACTTATAATTAACGAGATGTCTCTTTTCTCGAAAAAATCTCATCTAACTTAAAACCAAATAATTTGGTATGCGGTTAGCAGCGAAATACAGAATGTTTATTTTGTCCTGTTCGGGACTTGTCACCGATAGGTAATTGCATCTCTCTGTTGATTTCCAGCTCTGAGACTCACGGCTGAATTACTTGCGTCTGCTACCCTAATAGAGCAAAAGCAACCGACCAGCCATCTCCAACCCACTCTTCCCTAGGTTCTCCTTTCCATTTGTTCAAAAGTGTTATTAATTCTTTAGTGTTTATCTTTAGTTTCTAGCGCAATAAGTGCTTTTGTTTTCTTCCATTATTTTAGAGGACTTCAAGTGAGAACCTACCTTTTGACACAATTTAGTGATTTCCGCATGCATAGACGACTGTTAATAAATACCTGAAGCCTAGAGCCTCTCTAGGGTTACCACCAGTCCCGGACCTGGATAGAGGAGGAGGGTTGAAAGAATTTTTCTGAATAAATGTTTACTAAAAAAAGCTTGAACGCAGTTGATTTTAATTTGAATGTCCAAGTAGTTATTGTCCTAGTTATTGAGTCTTTATAGGCACTAAATTCTTTAACGTTTATGCAAGTTTTAGGATTTGTAATTTCTCGTTGTTGATATTCATGAGTGTGAATGATCAGTTTCTTTTGCCTTACATGTACATTCTGAACCATTGGACATGGTATGCTAAAAGTTTGAAACTATTTGGTTTATGGTTAGTAGCAGAAATCTTTTCAAACCACTGATGTTTTTATACTTACTTTATGTTCCTGACTGGGAAATGAACTTAACCGATACAAGAATCATAATACTGCAAATTATAACACATTGCACAAAATCTAAGGTTTTTATTTATCTTACAGAAAAATTAGTGATTAAAATCGTTGATTTTCTTAAAGCTTAATGATCAGTCCATTGAAATAAATGCAAACACATTTTAACGTTGGTCAAACAAGTACTTTTGTTATATGCTTTTCAGCCAAGTGTTCCTGATATAAATTAGTGAAATTCAAATCAATTTAAAGTATCTGATAGCTATTTAAAATCGAGATAGTGATTGAATAATTCAAATGATTTGATTTTTGACAATAATAATGATTTTCATACTCAAATACAACTCACCTTAAGAATTCCACGTAAGAGAAGTCACAACATTCATTCATAACGCATAAATGGTTTGATCATATTTTTTTTTGAATTAACGTCACTGACACAAATTCGACATTCTGAGAATATAATCAATGAACTATATGAGCAAATATGTCTGTCAACAATTCGTAGGAATAATGTGATCTGATGATGGAAAAACTAAAGCATATTCTTGACAGAATCAAATAACCATCATCATCGTAACAGCGAAATCAACCAAACTGACTGACTCCTATTCAGTCATTACGATCCGTTCATTATTCGAATAATGCCAATGAGCTAATAAATATATTGGTTAGTTCGATATTGGTATTAGTAATGATAATGGTGGTGGAGCACCTGCTAATTATTGATCAATATTAGGCAGACGAAAGGATAAACAGTAGTTGTAGTAAAAATATTGATCAATTTTTTATTTTAGAAAACAGACATGAAAGGACAGATTCACGCATATAACTTGTATATTTATGTATATATATAAGTACATGCATACATTTTGGTGTGCATAGCGAAAACTAGGAGAAGGGGAACAAATTGTAGAGTGAACCAGTGAGAAGTGATCGAATGAAAAGACTAGTTTGGGAAAATCTATTTTTTCCCTAAATGACAGACCAGAGATAGCGAAATGAAAATTTCTCTATTTAATTATCGAAATAAATAAAGATGTCGTTGATTTACTACATAAATTTAATCAATATAATGTTTTAGAAAATAATAAAAATGTTAATATGTGAATGACGTAATAATTTTATCGACTTTGAGTATTTTAGAGTATGTTTGAATTAAAACACCTTGACTTAAATCTTGATTATTCTAACTCTTTTATTAGGTATATATTTATTTATTTGACTTTGAACCACAACCTGATTATTAGGGCTAGTAGTACTACTTAGTTACTCTAAACAAAGTTGATAAAATGGAGTTATAGTGGTTGAAAGCTAAATACTTGAACCAATGAACCATTACTCTGGTGACATTTAGCCAAATATTCTCCACAGTTGATAAGTATTCTAGGTTTTTTTTAATTTCAGTAGTTTCAGATATATTAACACATACGTTTCACAATAGATTTTATATATCAATCATCTCATATTGTAAATAAAAAAACGTATATAAGAGGACGAAATTGTTTTTGATGAAATCCTCATCATGCTTAACTCTAATAAACATATATTATATATATATACCTATGTGTTACCAAAAATCCACAAGTCAAGATTTTCTCTTCCTCGGGTTTTTGATATGTGTAATTTTGCATATCATAAAACTGCAGTGTTTATTTCGAATCCTGAATCTCTTACAGAACGTAGCTGTTAACAGAAAGGTTAAAGGTTTCTTTTAGTTTGCAGAGGTTTCGTCCTAACTCCGCCAGTAGAACCTTCGGGGCTACTGCCGGTCCCAAGCCCGGGTAAAGGAGAAGGGTTGGACATGGGGTTGGCGACCCCATTCCGTCAAAAACTAACTTGCCAAAAAAACGCTAACCAGAAAAAATAATTCAAACCATTTTAACTCTGCCCTGCCATTTGGAGGAAGAATTATGACGTCACGTGATGAAAGCCGAGTTCCCTCGGAAGTCACAGGGCCGATGCCTCTTCTGACAACCAGAGCAACCATTTTTTTTAGGTACATGGAACGTTCGTACATTGTGGGAGACTGGAAGACTATTTCAAGTTGCGGCAGAAATGAAAAGATACAACCTCGAGGTGCTTGGAATCAGTGAAACACATTGGACACAAGTAGGACAACTGAGACTAGCTTCAGGGGAACTGCTGTTATACTCTGGTCATAAACAGGAAAATGCTTCACATACACAAGGAGTTGCACTGATGCTGTCCAAACATGCACAAAAGGCACTGATAGGATGGGAATCTCATGGACCCAGGATCATTAAAGCATCCTTCAAAACAAAGAAAGAGGACATTACAATGAACGTCATCCAATGTTATGCACCTACCAACAACTACAATGACGACGTTAAAGATCAATTCTACGAAAGGCTGCAGTCAATCGTCGACAGATGCTCACCAAAGGATTTGACGATTCTTATGGGAGACCTGAATGCCAAGGTTGGCATGGACAACACTGGATATGAAGACATCATGGGACGACATGGACAACACTGGATATGAAGACATCATGGGACGACATGGACTGGGAGAAAGAAACGAAAATGGTGAGAGATTTGCAAACCTATGTGCCTTCAACAAACTGGTCATCGGTGGCACAATATTCCCGCACAAACGCATTCACAAAGCCACACGGATTTCACCGTACCACACTGCTCAAAATCAGATTGATCATATCTGTATCAACAAAACGTTCAGAAGGACTATGGATGATGTGAGAACCAGGAGAGGAGCTGATATAGACTCAGATCACCATTTGCTGATCGCCAAAATGAGACTGAAACTATAGAAGCACTGGACAACGGGACAGACAACATCACAGAAGTTTATTACGGCCTTTCTTCGGGATACTGTAAAGCTCAACGAATTCAGGAGAGCCCTCACCAATAGGTTCCAGGCCTTTCAGGAGCTACTCAATGGAGAGGACGCAACATTGGAGAACAATTGGAAAGGGATTAAGGAGGCAATCACTTCAACATGTCAGGAGGTCCTTGGTCGCAAGAAGCAGCATCATAAGGAATGGATCTCTGTTGATACTCTTGCAAAAATTGAAGAAAGGAGGAACAAGAAGGCAGAAATCAATGTCAGCCGAACAAGAGCAGAGAAAGTTAAGGCGCAAGCCGAGTACACAGAAGCAAACAGGAAAGTGAAGAAGAGCATCAGAGCTGACAAACGAAAATATGTGGAAGATCTAACAATGACGGCGGAAAAGGCTGCAAGAGAAGGAAACTTGAGACAATTGTACGAAACAACAAAGAAGCTCGCCGGGAACTATCGTAAACCAGAACGACCAGTGAAAAGCAAGGAAGGGAAAGTAATCAGCAACACTGAACAACAGCGAAATAGGTGGGTAGAGCACTTTAAGGAACTCCTAAATCGACCAGCTCCTCTGAAGACACCCAACATCGAAGCAGCATCCACGGACCTCCCAATTAATGTTGGCGCACCTACGATTGAGGAGATCAGTATGGCCATCAGACAAATCAAGAACGGCAAAGCAGCAGGATCAGACAACATTCCAGCAGAGGCAATGAAAGCAGATGTAGAAGCAACTGCGAAAATACTTCACATCCTCTTCAAGAAGATTTGGGATGAGGAACAAGTACCATCAGATTGGAAAGAAGGATACCTGATCAAAATACCAAAGAAAGGCGATCTCAGCAAGTGTGAGAACTACAGAGGCATCACTCTTCTTTCAATACCAGGCAAAGTCTTCAATAGGGTATTGTTAAACAGAATGAAGGACTTCGTAGACGCCCAACTTCGAGATCAACAGGCCGGATTTCGGAAGGATCGATCGTGTACTGACCAAATTGCTACATTACGGATCATTGTGGAACAATCAATTGAATGGAACTCACCACTCTACATCAACTTCATCGACTACGAGAAAGCTTTCGATAGCGTGGACAGGAAAACACTGTGGACTCTTCTTCGACACTACGGTGTGCCTGAGAAAATAGTGAACATCATACGGAACTCTTATGATGGATTCAACTGCAAAATCGTGCACGGAGGACAGCTAACCGACTCTTTCGAGGTAAAGACCGGTGTCAGGCAAGGTTGCTTACTTTCACCCTTTCTCTTTCTCCTGGTGATCGACTGGATTATGAAAACGTCAACAGCTGGAGGGAAGCACGGTATCAACTGGACAGTTAGGACGCAGCTGGACGATCTAGACTTCGCAGATGACCTGGCTCTTCTATGGCACACACAACAACAAATGCAAGAGAAGACGACCAGTGTAGCAGCAGCATCTGCAGCAGTAGGTCTCAACATACATAAAGGAAAGAGCAAAATTCTCCGATGCAACACAACATGCACCAATCAAATCACTCTTGATGGAGATGCCTTGGAGGACATTAACACCTTTACATATCTGGGCAGCATCATCGACAATCAAGGTGGATCGGATGCAGATGTGAGGGCACGGATTGGCAAAGCAAGGGCTGCATTTCTACAGTTGAAAAATATCTGGAACTCCAAACAGATATCAATCAACACCAAAATCAGGATTTTCAATACAAATGTGAAGACAGTTCTACTGTATGGAACGGAAACATGGAGAACTACCAAAGCCATCATCCAGAGGATACAAGTGTTTATTAACAGCTGTCTACGTAAAATACTTCGTATTCGATGGCCAGACACCATCAGCAACAACGAACTGTGGGAGAGAACAAGTCAGATGCCAGTGGAAGAGGAAATCAGGAAGAAGCGGTGGAAGTGGATAGGACACACTCTACGAAAAGCACCTAACTGCGTCACGAGACAAGCAGGGTAACAGGCGAAAGTAAGTAAGTAAGGTTTCGTCCTCTGAGCTGGATGGCTTGGCTGTGATCCTTTCATAGTTATTTTGAACAACATGAACACTACAAACTTTAGGTAAAAGTGAAGTATTCGAATTTCTTCTGATACAGTTCGTAGCTTGTCGAGAGGATAAGCTAAAAAAATTTTCTCGACCATCTCAATTCGATTTTATTTCCCAAATGGATTACATGAATTTAAACGTTAATGGAGTGATATTTTGTTACAATAGATTGTTGAAAACTTGCAGATACTATTATTTAGAAATACTACATTAGTCTTCATGTACAGCAAATGCAGAATAATTTGAAGATGTGTTATTGATATGTTGAACATTATGTTTGAGTAGTAAATATCAACAATAACTGAATAATTAGTGCAAAGTTCTTTCTCAATATACTTATGTTTAAAATGATAACAAATGGTCAGTAAAAATAGTTCTTTTTATTGTGAGATAGTGTGATACACTTGACAGGAAGTCCGACATCTACATCTGTATTAGTTGTCACTCACCAACAAGGTATGTGTACAGTCCTGAACGAATAAGTACTCCCAATGTGGTTCGAACAGCCATCACTAAATATTACAGTCTCAGAGCAATTTAGTCAAATCCAGTCATCAATAAAAGCTAGACAATTATATCATCAGTTAATACTTAGTTTTTATCCAATGTTATTTGTTTTTCTAACAAAACACAAAGCTTAAGAAAGATTTAATACAAAATGAATGTCATTAAATTCATCTTAAAATGTAAATAGCCTTACGGTACTGGTTTTATAAGTCACTTGTCAGATAATTAAATTGAGATTTAATTATTAGAGTTTTTAAATGGCATTCAAATCAGAATGTTTACTCACTAATCTCTCATTTGATTACATAAAAAAGATGGTCATCATCTTTAGTAAACTGAAAAATGTCTGATCATGAAACAAAGAATGTGGGATTTTTCTAGATGAAATTCGTCACATTTGTGTCTAATAACTAGGTTATTGTTCAAATCGAGTCTTGAACTAATCATCTATTTCAAACTTCAAAAAAACTACAGACTTGTTTATCGAGTAATAATAATAATAAGAGAAGAAGTTTCTTTTGGAACCTGAGATCTATATGATCAGATTTTTTGGAACTTCTATGTCATCTAAAAGTCGATTATGATTTAACTATCACATGTATCTGTTTGTACATGACTCAGTATGATAATTCACAATCTTGAATGAACAAATCGACATCCTGTTGAAATTACAATGCAGTGTGTTTTGAGTAAATAAATTTTATACTAAGCTCTGACTTGAACTGAATAATCCATTTCATAATACCGTTACTTTTTGAAACAGAATTCAAATTTTGATGACACTGTTTCAAATACATTTCGATTCAGCTTGGTTTTTAAAGAAGTATTAATGGAAAATCCCTTTTGGCAATATCATAAGAAAATCCTTACATTTTTTTCTTGCTTTATATCTTAGATAAAGTAACAGTGATAGGATTTACCCATCGTGTACAATCACATAGTTATTAACTACGTTAGCTACCCTTTATTGATCACTTACCATAAACGCCTCAGTATTACAATTAATTAAATGTTTCTCAGATATAATAAAATTAATTTCACGGACTGTGAAATTAAATGAAAAGGGAATAAATCCTACTACAAATATCAGTTTGAAGAATAAAAAAGATACACCCTAATAAGAAACACAGCTAACGGATTTCACACTGATTGCATTCAACCATTAAAAATCATAAATAATTTTAGTCCATATAATACATATTTCATCATCACTAGGTTATTTAAAATTCAGTGAAAAACCAATGGAAGAAAGATATAACAGTGAGAGTGCATAACTTGGTACGATCTACTAAAAAACAAATCTCAACATAAAATCGTAAATAAACAATGAAAAATGGAATATGTTACACGTTGCGTGAAGAATTTTCTAGTCCTCATGGGCTTTGTACACTGTTAATGTTTATCTTTGAGAAAACTGCAATTATTGACGACAGAAATCTACCGACAAATTAATCAAATTCATCCCCTTAAACCATTTTTCCATCATAGTTGACATTGGTTCGTGATGAAAGCCCTAATAATTTAAATTTAAAGGTCCATTGTTCGTGTTAAAAATGTTTTGTCAACATAGAATCACGAAATTGGGAAATTTCATCGAACACACAAACCTATAACGGTTAGCTTGTGGTGGCCAATTTCTAAGTGTTCTTAGTCTTCGTAATTAGCTCGTCCAGACAATCGTTACTGAATAGCGTCTGACGGTTTATAAATCAGAAGGTAAACTCGAAGTGTTGAATACGTTTATTTTGGCACACCACAAATAGGATAGCAGACCAGGCAGGTACACTAGCGAGCGAATGTGCGAATCGGCAAATGTGCGGATGGGCGAGTGAATTAATAAGATTGAAATGTTTGTACATATACAAAGGAAAATGTCTGAGTCATCTTGATATTTAAGAGATCAGTCTTAAAGAGAATAGGATGCATATGCCCGTAGGCGGTAAGGAATGCTCAGTCATACCAGCTCATACAAACCACACAATAATAAAAGCCAATGATACATAAAAGTTATTGTTATACAAATGGCTTGCTTAAATAAGTTAATCGAAAGGCTTGACCAAATTAAATGTAAGCGAATTCAAATATATGTAGAGGCACTACGAGCTAACCATTGAAAACCTATAAGCACTAGTTGATTATTTCATCCTAACATAGGACTCCCCATCAGTGCAAATCCATGACCTTGCAAGCGATAATCGAACATGAAACCCTGCTATGGCTGCTACCCAAGCAAATGATCCCTCCTGTACAGAAGCACAACAATCTACATCCTTCAGTGCTAGGAAGTATCATTAGCTACTGTAGAATCTTTTTTGAATGTTTTGTTTTTTGGAAAATCCCTCCATGTATATATATTTGTGTTATGATATGACTGACTCTTTCTGTTGATATTTTGGTATTTTATTTGATTCCATTTTGAGATTTTATCATTGTATATTGTTATTATTTCTATATTTTGTACTTATATTGAAGTTTTTATGTTTGCTTCTGAACTGTACACATGTTGTTTAAATTTGATATATAATATGGCTTACAGCCATATTTGGATTTGATATCGTTGCAGTTAATACTAGCATCACCTATTCTTTT